TCCTCCTCCCCCACCTGGTAAATTGTCTAGACGGAGTCAAGGAGACCGGAGGTGGCAAAGGACGCATGTGGCTGACGCTACCGGAGTCAACAAGAGGGTAGCTGACACGGCCGAAGCTGCACCTAGGGGTGCCGTCGCATCTGGTCCGGATCCCACGGTGTGGGAGTGCCAGGGAGGCCACATAAAGAGGTACCATTGCAATCTGACTCTTATTCCACCAGTCCGCCATTCTACCCAAACATACACTGGGCTAACTGCGAGATCCGAGTAATTCTGTGAGTTGGTAACCATCCAACCCACGGCTTTTGGTGTATTGTGATAGCTGCAAGCACGTCAGATTGGTTGCAGTGGGGGGAAGTGCGCTGAGTCGTCCATCTAACTCTCTATTCTCACTTTCTGGCCCCAGTCACTCTCCGAGCCGATTAGATGTCTGGTGAGGGGAATGGGCGCAGTGGTTGTCAGAGCTAGAGAGTTCGTCTACGCGTGCCACGTGCACGACCTGGCTCCTTAAAAGCGCGGGTCAGGATTTCGCACACAAGGACGATAGAACGCCCGGATCTGAAATACAGTAGAGGAGCCACACGGAGAGGGGAACCGAAAGCACACTTTCACTTAAGTTAGAGTCGCCGGTAATGTGGGATTTTTATGGAGTGTATGCGTGGTGCATGTGTTGATGGGAGAATGTGTGGCGATATGGTCGTGTCTGCAGTGATTTACTGCAGGTTCTCATGAGGATGCATGTGACCTAATATGCCCATGCGGTGAGAGACTGTACGCTGACAGTATGGGCAGTGGAGGCGGGTGCGGCAAGTGCATGTTAGTTCTTCTGGCACTGGCTGGTGCGATGGATTCGCAAGTGACTGACCAGGCCGATGCTTGACGTACATGTGCGATGACTGTTAGGCTATGGTGAGTTCGGAGCTGTAGAATTGATCGTGGTGGGAGGCTGTAGGCCGTAGTCATATTTGTAGATGGAGACTTGTTAACACTAGACACTGGAGCGTGGTCGGGTATTCAGAGTGTGTCTGAGGTGCCGATATCGCGGTCAGCTTAGTTTTCATGGGTGTGCATGTGACAGAATAGACTCATGCGACGACCGAATGTGCGTGCAGAGTGCAGGCAGTAAAGGCCGATACGACGGGTGTATGTCGGGGCTCTGGGCACTGGTGCACCGGTCACAGTACAGAGGACTCGCAAGTGACCGACCAAGCCGGTGCGTGGGGTGGATAATTATCAGTATCAGTAATACTGATACTGACCTCCCAGGTCTCCGGGTTCGTCTGCAGTCGTTTCAGATAGTTCTTCAACGTGTCCTTGTATCGTCGTTGTTTAAATTGTCGGCGAGCACCCGTAGTGACATCCGCACAGATGAGTCGTTTGGTTAACTGCTCATCATCCATCCTCACCAGGTGGCCGCTCCATCACAGTCGCAGTTGCCTCGACTGCGTGTCCGAGACCCTGTTCTGCCATCTCAGCCTCAATATTCGGTGGAGACAGCTGAGAGGGAAGTAGTTGAACCTCCTGGCAAGGCTGGAGTAGACAGATGTGTCCTCAAGACGACTGGTATTCAGGTGGAGGCAGTGGCGGTTCCATACGGATATCTGCAGCCGGCCGAAGGTTTCACTGACTTTGGAGATCCGGTGGGCTACTTTATCGTCGATTTTGATGCGACATGAGGGTGTACTCCCTGAGTAGGGGAAGTTGTCCACGATCTCCAGTTCGGTGCGTGGGCACTTGTATGCAGCGTTGGGTAGCGGTTGGTGCATGACCACTGATACAATGAAACAAGGTCACATATGCACTCTTCGCATCAACTTATTCCTTGACGGGGGACAAACCTATGCGTGCAATCCTAATGCCTACTCCCTTTTACAGTTCTGATGCTGAACGTGAGCACTGTGCAAGGTCATAGTACTGGTGTAGTTCTTACCCCGTCAAACGGAACCAGCAAAACCTGACTTGTGATAATTTCCGCATCTAATCGAGATTTGAACTCCGACGGCTTCTTACACAAACTGAGTGATTTGATGAGGCCTTTCGTCTCAGATGCCTAATCGATCCAGTTTACCGTAAAAAAAAAACGATAGGGCTGTCGGGAGTGCCTACACCCCCAAAAACAAGAGTCAGCCAATCACTGTAGGTCGCGTGGTCTTCTTTAGCGCGCTGTCAGCGTGATGGTGGCGCCTCGCCATTGGCCGCTCCCCTCGAGCCTGATTGGCCCGTGTATGCGAGAAATCGATCAGCTCGTCCAGAATTTTCTTCTCGAAGTGCATCGGTCCGAATGCTGGCGAACCCCGATAAGATGTTATAACTACGCGTTATAATGCCTTTCAAATTTCTAATCCATTTTTCGTGACCGGTCGATATTGGGGACAACAGTCGAATGCGCATACGCTCCACGTGATTCTGAGTCCCAGGCCGGGTCATAACAAGGGCTGACTTATATGCCCATCTAAACAGGACATGAAACCAGGAATCGCCCGCAGTACTGGTGGATTTGAGCCAACTTCCAGTGAGACGATGGTTATGCCTCAGGCTAGGGTTAGGTTAAGGCTTAAGCTTAAGGATAGATTTAAGGTTAACGATAAGGAAAGTCAGGATCACGTTTAGGGTTAAGGTAGGGGCTAATGTTAAGTGCAAAGTTAAGGTTTAGGGTTAGGGTTAGCGTCAAGATAAGACCAACGGTTTAGTTGGGATTGGGACACGGAATTATGTGCAGGTCTGCCTTCATTACTTTCGAGGGACGTACCTATCCCCACGTCCTGCTTAGGGGTCCACGTAAGTCAGCCCCACCAAAAAGACTCCTATTTTGCTTGAGACCGTTTGTGAAATGACGTTGGAACACGTGCGGGAACAATTAACTGGCAGCACAACAGAGAGCTGCCTGCCAGTCAGCTGAAGAATTTCGGGGCCACGCCCGCTTCACGCTGTCGACACACTTACTCACTTAGTGCTGTGCGCTTTGAGCCCGTCGCACCGACATTAAGCTGCCAACTGCCACGCCGTTTCTGTTGAGAAGCGTCTAATTTTAGTGCTGATGTCAGATGCAATCAGGCACTCGACGACTGACGTCGATGTTTCTACCCTGGGTATCAGCCTGCGCTCAGAACAGATGATCATATTTTAAAGTCCTTCTGCCGAACGGGGGAATGTGCGGCAAGATAGTGGCTAGAAAAATATTAAATAAACACAAATGCTGGTGATTGGTTACAACTCTAACTATCGCAGAATTTGGATGTCATGCGAGGGGTTTCACCTGCAACGAAACGGCGAAGACAGGAGTCACCTAGGCTTAGGTATCCGGTCACAGTCCCGACGCCCATGTCCGTCCTTGGCTTTGTCCGACTTAGCGTCTTCAACGGACGGGACGTCATCTTCATCCAGTACTTTTTTGCG